CAAGGAATGTTCAACATTCTTCTTCAGTGGCACAACTCAAAGGCATCGATTCTGCTGTCTTCCTTAGTCATTGTCCAGCTCTCTGATGCATAGCAAGTAATTGCAAAGAACATGGCCTGGATCAGGCGCACCATGAGACATTATCATAATCAGAAACTTCAACATAAATACTAGTGTCTACTCAAGGGAGCTCTGGTGGCTTAGTGGTGAGAAGTGCTATCAACCTAAATGCCTGCAGTGTGAATCCACCAGGCTATTCCAGGGGGTGAAGATGGGCAGTCTCCTTCTGTGTGATCTACTGCCTCTGAAAACCATCTGGAGGGTCAGCTGCGAGGCAGTTTCGACTTGATGGTCACAGAACAACAACAGTACCTACTCAACAGCCATGTAAGCAGCAGTCAGGAAGTCAGATGATGCACTCATTGCACTAGGCAACTCTGCTATCAAGGACCACTTCAGAGTGCTACAGAACAAAGATTTAATGTTGAAGACTAAGATGTGCTTGACCCAAGCTATGGAATTCTTAATTGTTTAATACGCATGTAAAAATTAGATACTGAATAAGAAAGTCTAAAGGAGAATCAATGCCTTTGATTGTGGTATTGACAAACAGTGCTGAATACACCATGAACTGCCAAAAGAACACTAACAAATCTGTCTTGGAAGAATAGCCAGAGCGCTCCTTAGAAGCAAGGATGATGAGACTTCATCTCACACACTCTGAGCATGTCAGCCGGAGGGAGTTGAACTTTGGAAACAGACATCATGCTTGGAAAAGCAGAGGGTCAGAAAGGCGAGAAAGATCCTCCAAGAGATGGACTGAGACAGTGTCTGCAGCAACGGGCCTAAGCACAGGAGGCTGTGAGGATGGTGCAGGACTGCTCAGGTTCTGTTCTGCTATACACAGGGTCACGGTGAGTTGGCATCAACTCATGAGCACCTAACAACAGGACCTAATTAACAGATCTTTTTCAAATTTCACCAGTTGGTCCAGTAATGTCTTTTGTGTGAAAGATCGATCCATCCTTCCTTCCTTCCTTCCTTCCTTCCTCCCTCCCTCCCT